CAGTCAGACACAAACACACAGTCACACACTCACAAACACAGTCAGACACAAACACACACACACACATTAACTTTTTTTTTAAAATTTAAATCCCCCCCCCCAACCTCCTTACCTTTGGGAGTGCTGGGGGGAGGTCTCTCTCCCTGGTGGTCCGGTGGCTGCAGGTCGGGCGGGCGGCGCTGGCAGGCGGGCGGCTGGCGAGGGAGCACTTCCTATGAGCTGACTGCTCAGCTCCCTCGCGCGCCGGCTGCAGAGTGAGGCTGGGAACCGGAAGATGACGTCATCTTCCGGCTCCCAGCCTCACTCTGCGGTGCGCGAGGGAGCTGAGCAGACAGCTCAGAGGAAGTGCTCCCTCGCCAGCCGCCCGCCTGCCAGCGCCGCCCGCCCGCTCGGGATGTCTGTTAGCCGCAAGGCTAACTAGGCATTTGCCTGGGCATTTGGGGGGCGGCGTTTTGCCGCCCCCTGAAAAATGCCGCCCAAGGCAAATGCCTTGTTTGCCTCGCGGCTAATACGCCCCTGTGTGGGGGTATGCTCATTCCCCCACCTCCCTTCTAAAGGTGGACAGCATCTGGGCAAAATTGTCTTTAAAGAGATCTGAGCTATGTCTGGTGAGCCAGGTACCTAATTTTAGAATCTGCCCACTGGAACAGGAAGCCCTGGCACAGCAGTATTTCCCGGTGGTGGGGTATGGATATATTAAGTATACACGACTTGGCGAAATTGATATTCATATTTGAAATCTCGCCATAATCCCTAAGGGCCTTAATGATATTCGGGAGGGAGATTTCAGGTTTCGAGACAAAAAAGAGAAGGTCATCGGCGTATGCCGCTACCTTATGGTGTACCTTGCCTTTGTCTATCCCTGTAATATCCTGGTTGCTTCTGACTGCTTGTGAAATTGGCTCCAAGGCTAGCCATGAGGTATAACTTGATGGTGTTATGTGACAGCTTCAGTTTGAGGTGGCAAAAAGTGGTGAAAGTTAGTGAGGTGGTGATCTGTCATGAACCTATTATATAAAATGAATGCCCTGTCATATGTGTTATGCGTATTTTTTGATAATGCCAATTTTGCCAATTGACGTAGCAAGTCTTCAAGCGCCTGATTAATTCTTGGAGTGGGGGAGCGGTCGTGGCTATTGGTGAGGCTGTTGATAGGGACCTCCTGAATGCCTGAAATTGAAGACGAGATAATTGATCAGCAGCCGTGTTAAAAATGCCCGGTAGCATACCAGATAAAATTAGTGACAGGTTGCCAACCACGTCAGTCTCCTGATAAATTTCATGATCATCAGGGACGAAGACCGGCCTTTGATTATGACGTTGCCAAATTATCAGAGAAACATTGCACCGGTCTCCCTGCCCATAAATGGCCCCATGTCACTGCTGTGGCTACTATGGGGTATACCTCGAAGAGCGTTACGTTAGTATGTGAATAGGGAGCTAGCTGCACACAGACCTACTGTAAATAGGCACACAGCATACACATGCCTAATTGCTATATGCTCTAGGAGCCGTACTGAGGTGCGTTGAACTACATGCCACCAAAAGCCCTAACTATAACTCAGCCACTGGGCACACAACGGCAGCAATAGGGAATAACCGCAAATTAAAGCTTAAATGTTCGCTAAGCTTCCAATACTATACCATGAAGGGCACAATCACATGTAGATACAAGGCTATCCATAAACTAGACCTGCTGATACCAGCTAATACTCACACCCAATGCAGAGCTATAGTAAATATTAGGCAAAGGTCTGAAACGTGGCACACCCATGCGATGCCCATATGATGCAAACACAAAAAAAAAAAAAAGTGCATACAAGGCCACACTAGGAAACACCCCATATCTATTTTGCGCAGACATTGCAGTGAGGCAATGGAGTGATAATGCCGAATAACACAGAAGAACTTAACTAGGATAAATACCATAAATGTCTAACGTTATTTAAATATTAAGTGATGGTTCGGTGGGCTGCGAACGGGCTGCCAAACAGCAACCCACATTTATGGAAGGAAACTAGACTCCTACAGATTAGAAAGGCTCAATAGAATGACCTGTTAACAAAGACAAATATCGGTTGTTACTCTCACCCCTCACCCCCCACTGCACAAACAATGAGAGAGGAAGTCTCCCATCTGAGGCAGACCCTACCCCTGCACAGTATGCATGACAGTTTAAGTTTCCCCTACCCAAGTTTCACCCCTATGTTACATGCCATGTTACTACGCTCAACGATACGTGCAAACACCAGGTATAACATTCCGTCCCAATCACATACATTATGTGACACCAAAGCCCATAGGACTTTATCCCGTCCCAGACATCCACAACATACTAGCTCCGATCTAATAGGGAAGCAGAAACCCTCTACAAAGCACATGCACCATACCGTGAAGTCACATAGAAACACAACCTTGTTGAGGAATATGTGGAAGTGGCACGCACACAGACAAACCAGAATACACAGAAAGAATAGGGGAGGAGGAGTCTGCGCTAGATAGCAAAAATAAGAGCTGCAACCCTCTAAAGGGAATCCCTCAAGAACCCTAATAAAATTGTAAAGAAAAGAGAAGGGGTGAAGGGCTGCGCTGAGTACAGATAAATAAAATATAAAATATATAAAATAATGGTAGAATATATTTTATATTTTATTTATCTGTATTCAGCGCAGCCCTTCACCCCTTCTCTTTTCTTTACAAACCAGAATACACACCTACAATGACAGGAACGACATTTAAAATATACTCTCTAAATGTAAAGGGGCTAAATAGCCCACTCAAACGACACCTAGCAGTCCAAACTATGCATAAATCCAAAGCTGCTATTATATGCCTTAAGGAAACCCATTTCTGCAGCCGCAAACCCCCCCAAATCCACTCCAATCAATATCCCCAGGCATTCCATGCGTACTCACCTCATAAATCCAGGGGAGTTGCCATCTTCTTCCACAGAGATTGGCTGTTCCAGGAGACTAAGAAATACATAGACCCAACGGGAAGACTTTTAATATTAGTTGTCAGCCTCAACGGCATGCAGATCACTATTGTGTCATTATACGCACCGAACGAAGCCAAAATCCCCTTCATTCGCAAAGCCATGAAACAAATAGAATCCATAAAATAGGGCCATACCATAATATGTGGGGACTTCAACTGCACATTAGACCCGAACTTGGATATTAAAAGAGAGCATAACAAACCACCTACCCCACATGCTATTTCAAACTGCACTGAATTTAGCAAAATCCTCTTTACCACCAATCTATATGACACTTGGAGATCCACATATCCAACCGAGAAAGACTACACCTACCTATCGCAGGTGCATAGGACTTACACTAGGATTGATCTATGTCTGGTAGATAAAGCCACCTTGGCTAACATTGATGAGGTACAGATAGGACAACGTACATGGTCAGACCATGCCCCATTGATTATCACATTTTGAACTCTTTATCAGGCAAGAGGCAGAGGTAAATGGAGACTCAATGAGGGCCTACTCAACAACACTAGTGCTAGATATAATAAATAAAGATAAAGGCGTTCGACCGCTTAAACTGGGAATATATGGGAACAACACTACTTAGAATGGGTCTCACGCGACAAACCTTGAAAGGCATAATGGCCCTATACAAGTCCCCATTAGCGAGAGTATTCAACTCAGGCTTCCTCTCAGACAAATTCCTAATTAGCAACGGTACACGTCAAGGCTGCCCACTATCCCCACTCCTATTTATACTGTGTCTAGAACCAATCATCCTACATATCAAAAACCACCAAGGCCTAGAGGGCATCACCACCCCAGCAGGAGTCCAAAAACTTGCGCTCTTTGCTGATGATGTGCTCCTGTTCCTCACGAACCCCACACAATCTATCCCGAATTTGATGGAACTACTTGCGTTATAAGGACACAACTCGTATTATAAAAATAACCTTAAAAAAACACAGGCATTACCGATAGGCGTTCCCGCTCACACGCTCCAAACACTCAAAACGCTACACCCCTTCGACTGGAGGAAAACCTCCTCAAAATATTTAGGAATCAATCTGACCAAATCTACTTTACACTTAGTCCTTGAAAACCACACACCACTCATATACAAACTACAGACACAACTAGATGCATGGCAAAATCTGGAAATCTCACGGCTGGGAAGAGTAAACACTATCAAGATGATGGCACTCCCCCATGTCCTATACCTATTTCGCACCATACCTATAGCGTTAGGAGACAAATTAATAAATAAGTTCCAAAATCTTTTTAACGCATACATATGGAAGAAAAAACCTCCAAGAATAGCCAAACGACTAACGTGGCTATCACCAAATAAAGGTGGCCTGGGAGTCCCAAACATCAGAGCATATTACAGAGCAGCGGCCATGACTCAAGGGCTGGACATACTCTCTCGTCCTACCCCTCCAATATGGGTCCACTTAGAAAATGCATGCATAAGACCATACACATTAGACTCCCTGCTAAGATCATTCACAATATGGGACACCCCCAATCATATGCCTATGGAGAGCACTAGATTTCTAATACACAGTTGGAGGAAATGGGCAAAAACCCTCACAGGAGTAAATAACACCCTCTCGTCCTACCCCTCCAACATGGGTCCACTTAGAAAATGCATGCATAAGACCATACACATTAGACTCCCTGCTAAGATCATTCACAATATGGGACACCCCCAATCATATGCCTATGGAGAGCACTAGATTTCTAATACACAGTTGGAGGAAATGGGCAAAAACCCTCACAGGAGTAAATAACACACTATATTTTGCCCCAATACAAACAATCTTGGAGCTCTCAGAAAATATCAATATGGGTCCATGGATGCAAAAAGGCATCATATCGATAACGTAGCTATACACGGAAAAAGGATTAAAACCCTTCCCTGACCTTCAGAGGGAGTTTACACTACCCCCCAGAGATATGTACTTGTACATTAGACTTAAACACATCCTCCACATGCTACAAATCAAACAATGTGATACCTCCCAACTCACTCACTTTGTTCTACGCTGCACAAGCAAACGACCACAAGCAAAACACCTATCTCTCTGCTACAGAGCTCTGAACGAAATGGACCCACTGACTAAACACAAATATATAACACAATGGGAGAACGACCTCCACATTAATATCCCCACCCTGCTCTGGTTACAAGCCATGCAGACAACAAAAAAAGCATCCCACAGCTTATCCCTCTGGGAAGCCTACAATAAGATGTTAATGAGATGGTACTTAGTGCCGACCAGGTTAGCAGCCATGTACACATCAGTCTCCCACACCTGCTGGAGATCCGAACTACACAATGGCAATATGCAACATGTATTCTGGGAATGCCCGCTACTGGAGAAATTCTGGAAGACAATTAGTAAAGCTATCAATCTAATATCGACCCAGAAGATTCCATTTACACCAGAATGCTGCCTACTCCATATATCCCCTGAACTACTCTCTGACAGGAATAACCATGTCATTATAAACATACTAGTTAAAAAACAGAGATAAAAAATGGCGCTAAAAGTGATTACAATATATAGGATATCATATATAATCAACCAGTGCAGCACACACAAATAACCACCCAAGTGTATAGTCACTATATAACACTTACATACAGGAATAAAATGAGAGAGGACAGTGGTTGCGCACACAGTAAATGATATCTTTAGTCTAGGATGAAGCCCCTAGATTCTGTAAACATAAGAAACCATCATAGGGCAATATATCTTAGACTCAAATAGAATGTTAAGAAAACTTGGAAAACTCACAATATTTAGAGCCTATCAGAGTTGGCTCTAAACTTTTAAAGCAGGTTTATCAATCTGGTGCAGATAACGTAGTATAAATCCATTGGTAACCATCAAACGTCTTCTTAATGTAGAAGTCAGGAACCAGGATGACCAGGTAAGTGAAAAGTGAATACTTTAATTATAAAACAAATAAAAATACAGCACAACGCGTTTCGACCTAGTGCAATAGGTCTTTCTCAGGTGCATAATAAAACAGTCAAACAACATGCTTATATACCATACATAATCAATATAATTACTGGTAAAACCTTTACAGCTGTAAAGTCCGTCCTTAACTCCATATATGGAGTGTTTCCGGCAAGAAACGGCATGTATATGCCTCCTCCAAGATGGCCGCCGTGTATTGTTCCTCATACAGGTGCGCGCGACCTTCCCAAAATGGCCGCGCGTCATCTCCGTGTAATTGCATTATGTCACTTCCGGTTTCCTCTTCCTCCGGTCACGTGGTACATCTTCCGATCACGTGATACCGGAAGTGGCGTAAGCAGCATGTAATTATATCGTTGGTGCAAGGGAATGTCAATCAAATCATTCCCAGTTCGTATTTTAGATACATATTAGCAAGGAAGTGAGAGGTAAAAGGAGAAAGAGTTATATAAAACACCAATCATTTATAACATAGTAAAAACTTTAACAATAATATAATTATAGGAGAAGTAAGTTCCTTATGTCTTAAAAATACTAAATAAATATTAAAAATAAATGTGAAATACATATAGAGAATGATAATACCATACATGTCAAAGAAGATTTATAAAATTGAACCAATTTCAAAGTCAATGTTAAGCCCCTTTGGGCATAATGTTTGGAGCTCAAATATCCAATTTGATTCTTTTTTATTTAGGTTCTTAGCAATACTGCCACCTCTCCAATGATTTTGTATTTTATGGATGGCTGTAAATTGTAATTCTTTAGGATTACAGTTATGTCTTTCTAAAAAATGACTAGATACGCTATGATTTAAAAATCCAATTTTTATGTTCCTAATATGTTCGTAAATCCTAGTCTTTAGTGGTCTTGAGGTTTTTCCTACATACTGTAAACCACATGTACACTGTAGCAAATAAATAACATTAGTAGACTCACATGAAATAAAAGAATTGATATTAAAACTTTTTTTTGTTATATTCGAAATAAAATCAACTTTCTTTTTTTTAGTTATATGTGTATTTCTACAGGCATAACAATTGCCACAATGAAAAAAAACTTTTTGGGTTTCTGACCATTTAATTAAAAAATTTGAATTTTCATTTTTATTATCCTTCTCTACATAATTTGAGGTTAAAATTTGCTTAAAATTTTTTGCCCCTCTAAAAATGAACTTAGGTTTATCCCCTAAATAATCCCGCATTTCATATTCTTGTTGTAAAATATGCCAGTTTTTACTCACAATTCTTTTTAAAGTGCTTGCATTGCTACAATAATTAAAAATAAGGGGAATTTGTTTATCCTGTTTATTTCTATCCTTACTCTTATAATTTAATAATTGTGATCTCTCTAAATCACCAACAATGTTGATATCTTGTTGGAGGTCTTTTTCACAGTATCCTTTTTGTGCAAATAGTTTTTTAAAAATAAAGATTGAGAGTTAAAATCTTTTTTGTCTGTGCAATTTCTTCTCATACGTAAGAACTGGCCTTTTGGAATATTTTTAATCCATGGATTATGGTGACAGCTGCTTGTTTCGATGAAGCTATTCACATCAACTTGTTTAAAAAAAGTACGTGTTTTAAATTTATTATCAGAGATAAAAATATTCAAATCTAAAAAATCGATACTATTGGGGCTAACGTTTTTAGTCAGTTTAATTCCCCAGGTGTTAGAGTTAAGGTACGTAAAAAATGAATTAAAGTCTGTCTCTGTCCCTTTCCAGAT